AGATTCATTCCTGTACTTAGCTAAGGTAGACCAACATTCCCTTGAAATTGATGCCTTCGGTCCATCAAAAGAGGATATCTGCGGTATTTTAGAACAGTGTCTCCAGGATAATACTTTCTCGTTCGGAGATGACTTCTACCGACAACCATGGGGAATAGCAATGGGGGAACCCATGCGCTCTTCCTCCGGCGAGAATATTCTTAAACTTTTTGAAACGAAGGCTCTGGCCGCCAGCTCATTAAGACCAACTTTCTTAGCAAGATACATCGGTGATTATGCTGGGTACGGACGCACGGACAGCGTGCCTTGAAGAGTTTTTAGAGTTCATGCGCAACGAACATCCGAATTTAGCTCTTACGATGGAGCACACACGGGGCGGAAAGGGGTCCCATATTTGGATACGCTAGTGACAGTGGACAGGAGAAACAGCCGCACAACGTTAGAAACGGAGCTCTTTATCAAGCCTACCAACTCTGGCATAATTCTGCACCGCGAATCTGCGCATCCAACTTCCACTAAGCACAACATAATTCATAACATATTCCATAGGGCTCTAAACAACTCATTAAGTGATGAAAAGGAAAGAGAGAGCATAAACAAAACATGGGCTTTGCTGTTGGACAATGGATATTCTCCGCGACTTTAAGGTACAATGTTGGAAGCAGTAAAAACAAGTCTAGAGCGCGTGGGGGGATGGGTGGTACGGGGCGGGAACACGTCCTATCGGAAGACGGATTCTTAGCGCTACCTTATATAGATGAACATTTGCTTTGGAAAATCAAACACGTTGTTAAGAAATCAAAACTCGCGCGCGCATAGCATGGAAGAGCGACAAGCTAAAAAATTGTCTGGTGAAATCTTCCATCTCGAAACATAAGTGCCCGAATGGCAATAGATGCCATTTATCCAGTTCTGGGTTTCAAGGGTTTTGCACGCAAAAAAGCGTGGTTTACGAAGTCAAGTGCAGACTGTGTGAAAAACACGGGAGGGACAGTCTATGTCGGGGAGTCCATGCACCCTTTCGTTTAAGATATAATGAACATCTGCGAGACACCAAAAACAAAACAAGGAATACCCCTTTCGGTGGACATTTTTTGGCATACACTCAGGCTCAAATCAATGGAGGTATGAAACCTATGCCCCTTTTAGGGCTCAGTCATCTACAAAGCGCAAGACCACCGAGGCAAGAAAATGAGTGAATCTATTCTTACAAAAATTCGGCGACCAAATCTTACCTTACAGGGCTCATCACGACCGATCAGGCAAATGTGATATGTGCCTTCACGCGTGGTGTGTGCCTTCACGTGTGGTGTATGCTAGCTTAAAATAGTTTGCATGTTTAAGTGATGCCTGCCGCGTGATGTGCGATGCCTGTTCAATTGAAATCGCTTGCATGTATAACTGATCCACAATGTGCGATGCCTGCTTACTTCATCTCGCTTGGATGTTTGAATCAAGCGTGACGCGTGATGCCTACTTCTTTGAATTCGTTCGCATGTACACGCAGGGAGCTAGAATCCCTTTTGAACTCGGCTGGGAGTGAAAAATTTCGTCGCAGAAAGACCGTGAGGGAGTGGATAAATCCATTCACAAAAGAGGGAACTTATGAGCTCGTGACTGACGCTTCAGCAAACAAAGGCATCCTATTTCAAGCTGGCGTGGACGTAATATCAGAAACCTGACACAACTGTTTTGTTTTTTAACATCTTAGGCCATTAAAGTGAAACAGAATACATTAAAGCATAGTAATTTCATGACAATGCAACGCAAATCATTTGAAAAACTTAACACCAATAATTTGATGCTGCACTTTTCACTTTCTTTCCACAGCACTTTCACACAAAACAAAGCAAAGCAATTCAATAACAAAATAACAACAGAAAATTCAACAAGCATAAAGCACTCAAACAAAAAAACCTTGGATTCATACGCAGCCCATCACCAAGTCAAACACAATAGACATACCTCTGGCTTCTGTTAAGATGGGGTCAGGGAAAACAAACATTTTGTCACTATTTCTTACAAAATACCTGTGCTTATCTTCATGAAAGTAGCCTAACTATGCCTAACCTAAACAGGCCTTACTTCATCTCATCCTGTCTAACCTGTTTGTATCACAGCAGCAGTTGTAAGTTACTGATTCTTGCACGATTCATATTGCCACTTGCCATGCACTTAACCAACTTACCTAACTTCGAGTAGCCCATATGTTGAACATCATCTCAACTCACCTATCTGTTGACAGCATCACTTGTAATGAAAACATGATAAACCTAATTTTTGGCTGGTTTCAACTTCCATTTTTGCTCAATTCATTTGTGTATGCTTGTTGACATCGACAAAGTTGACAACACACAAATCAAAACACTTTAAATTACTTCGAACAACTTATTTTGATTGCCATGGTTAACCTATGTCAACGGCAATGTATGCTCCACAAAAGAATCTCTCTTCTCCAAAAGTAACATAACTTTTGGATGACCATGCCGGTATTGCTGCTTCCTTTTCAGCTGCAGCAAAGACATCTATTTAGGCTTGTTTATTCAGTATTTAATCGCAAAGTTTGAGGTGTTGGCTTAACATTTTGGATGGCTCCGCCAGCCATGCCAGCCATGGGATGGTCTGACTTTTTGTTGCATACTTATATTTAACTCATAGCATAATTGTTATGCAGCTTGGAGCATCCCTGTGTTAAAAACATAGTGCATTTGTACAGTACAGTCATCTGCCAGTTAGCAACCATGACAGCTATGGAAAACATCTGGTTAAAGCAGCCACGAGGAACTACTTCAAGAAATTTGGGGCAAATAATCAAAAATATGGAACAATATAAGCCCTTTGCATGCCTTGTGGCATCATAATTTGTCTTATGACAAAACTCGATGGATTAAAACAGAAAATCGCTAACTCTGGTTACCAATCGTGTGTTGAAAGCAGGTAAGGTATGCAATTGCTCGGCTTACCGGAGCCAAGCTTACCTTGGCCGGAGGAGACTTACTGGCTTCTTCCTGCTCCCCCACAACAAAAAGTCAGTGAATTTTGCACGGTCTGCTGGCAGACAGTCATCCCACTCGCCCCAAAAATATAAATATCAGTCATGACCATCAACTTACGAGATTAAAATGCGAAACAAGTAAGAAGTGTGCATGATAAACATCTCCAGTGGCCACAATTTTGCCATCAAACACTTCTGTATTAGCCGCGCTAGGTTTGTCCCAAAGCTCTGTACGGCAGCATTAGGATAACCTTGTCAGGTAGCCTGGTGAGTTAGGCACTCCAAAGGCTTAGATTTATCATTATTAAGCACCGCCATGAACCAAGAAAACGGTTAATCGGGGGTTTAATAGGGCAAAAATGGCGGTAAAAATAAGTTCCGTGCTTCAAATTGTCTCCTATATTCCCTGCGCATTGTTCACTCTTGGGTGCCTATCAAACATGTTTGGGTGGCTGGCGAATTAATCCAATTTAGGTATGAAATACGCACCAGTTTGCAGTTGGGGCATCTTGCAGAGAAATTGGTCAACATTTTAAGCCACAGAGCATACCTCTAAAGGCAATAAAAAAACGCTAAAGTGGTATCATACTAGTATGATACCAAGAAAAACAAAAGGAGTTAAATCAATATAAAGACTGATACTTTTCTGACAAAGTTTTGTCATCAGTTAATTTGACTTGAAATATGTTGACATAAGTGCTCAAATGGTGATATTAATGTTGTAAATTTGATTTAGAAGACATTTCTTGAATTTTTCACTCCTGCATTTCGGGAGTGGTGCAATTTAGTGGTCAGGTTTCCTCGGGAAAAAAGAAATACGTGGAGTAAAATTATCTACCAGGCCTTGCTGGTGCTTGCGTCAGGCTCAGCCCTCGTGGTGTGGTGGGACAAAAAAAAAAATAGGGGATGCGTGAAAATCTTGCATTTGGCACACAGCTGCCGATTATGATGCATTTTGTAAACAAACCAAATTCAATGCGCGCAAGTGGCTGGAGTCGCTGGGGTTCTTGTGCTTGGAGGTACCTGGCGCCCTTGCTCTGTGCATATATAGGCATGATTCAAATGTAGGTGAGGCGGGACATAGCTGTAGGTGTCCAGGGTCTGTAGAGCCTTGTTTATGCCTGGTGGTTTCAAGTAAGATCGGTTTTGGATGACATCTGAAAACCTCAGAAAGGGAAATAGGGGTTTGGCATGTGCGATTAGACGATGTCAGGCAGGAGTGAAAAATTCACATAAAATATGGGGAAAAGGAGTGAAAAATTCCTCCTCATAGGGTGTTGCTTTACACCCAAAGTCTCGAATTCTTGGACACTGTGTACACGTATGTTCGAGCATTCTAATTCCTACATAGGCACTGTATCATAATAATAGCTGGCAATCGCTCTGTTGAATCTCACGGGTGTTGGTGTCCTTTAAGAACTGTGGCTTGCTGTAAAAACCCTGAAAAATCGAGTAGGATCATCGGCAGGGAATTCTGAATTCACTTCTGCTATTGTTTCGATAAAGGCACGTTGCCGAAATATCTCCATCCTCCTGGTTTTTCTCCGAAGAATACGGCTATTACTTCTGTCTTATCCCAAACAATAAAGTAGACTCGACACGAATCGTCACTGATCGATCCCAAGGGACTAGTCGGGACAATTGCTGGATTCTTCAGGCAAACCAGGCTACTCAGCGGCCGTTCTTCCATGGCTCACGCTCGATCTGGAGCGAGTGGTGAGGGGTGCTGCCCCTCGCCAGTGAGCGGCGGTGGCACGAGAGGAAAAGGCTGCCGCCGTCCACCGGCGGCCACGGCGGCTCTCCGGGGTGGCCAGCCCCAGTCTCCCCGGCCCCTCGCCGCTACCGCCTGAGTACAGCGGGACGGCCGTATGCACTGTCGGATCGCCACCAGCCGCGGCGGGCGTCTCCCCCTCCCCCTCCCCCCCCCCCCCCCCAAGCCGACACCTGTCGTCCAGATAAGTCGCCACAGGGTGGGCACGCACGATAAGCGAGGTGGTAGGCCTACCTTGCGGTTCCGTTCCACCAGATTCTTGAAGGCGATCTGCTGCAGGATGAGGTCCTTGAGCTGCTGCGTCTTCATGTTGATTCGGTGCGTCCGCTGCGCCTTCTCCCGCTCCAGTTTTGTACACTCCTACGACGCAAGGGAGACCAGTCTGGCGTCAGGGGCGACACCGGCCGACTCTCGATCAAAACCTCCAAGCCGTCAAAAACGTATTTGGCCAGTGAAATCCGACTACGAATGTTTTTTTTTTTTTACAATTTCAATCAATAAGAGAGACTGAAATGCAAAAGCAATGTGCAAACTTTCGCTACAGCCCAGAAAACCCGCCAGCACAACATGCCGGCTGTCAACGGAGGCTTTGATCTGAGGAGGCTCCACCACTGGCGAGGCAAGCCCGTTTGGCTGAAAGCCTTCACCACTTACGACGGAAATCAAATTGTGTCACTCCATTTTGAGACTGGACCGAAACTTGTCCCGAAGCGCCTGCAACAGTGCGGTCGGAAGAAAGCAAACAGCTCGCACTGGAAGAGCAAACCAGCCAGCTGGCTGGCAGAGGCCACACTACGTGGGCGAGCGGGGCCGCCGGCCAGCTGACGCCACCCGCCCCCAACTTTGCAACGCCCGCAAAATGACGAGGGCTGGAGGCTTCCTGCCCGCGCCAGCAGTGCCATAAAAGTTGCCAATGCCAATACGGCGGGCCTGTGAGTTGGCCATATCATGGAAACACTCCAGCTGACGGCGACAGCACGCTTTCATTCCGCGCAGGTCGGCAGGGTCGCGCCGCGGTTCGTGACGCAGAGCACCGAACGGTCACCAGCACACGGGTGTTTCAATCGACCACGACAGCGTCCACGCGGCCCACCACGCCACGCCCGGATCGCAGCCCGCATGCCGCCGTGGGCAGGCCACGTGTGGGCACGCCGAGGAACATGGCCAGCTGCCGCGGTACCGCTCCGACCGGGCCAACGTCACGCGGTGAGGCCCCGCGGTGATCAATGTTCCGCGCTCGCCGTTAGGTACAGGCAACACTTTACGGAATGTGCGAAACGAGGCGCTGGATGAGACAGACACGGCTACATGTCAACCATCCTCTGGTCTTTCTCGCACCACGTGACACCGGTCGACGGCTGGAGAGGATGGCGGCACGCCATCTCAGCAATAGCTCTGGACAACAGCCCACACGATTATCCATCTTGAAAACGACCTTGTTTCTGACGAGAGCGAGACAGTATCACATGCCACCGCTTTCTCGCGCGCGGGTCGGCGGGCGGCACCGCATCAGAGCGGCGCGGCGTCGGAGACGGCCCTGGGGACGGCTCCGCCGGCCCTCCCCAGCGAGTGCTCGCTGCCGGTCGGCCAACTGACGGCTCTCCCAGGCTGGCCATCTGGGAGGCCAGCGGCGCCCTCAATAATGCAGGTGTGGCGACGGCCAGCGGAAGGGCGCGCGGTCGGGGCTGTGATTCGACTGCACGGCAGCCGGCCGACTGTGATCCGCTTAGAGACAGGACGGTCGACTGTGGTCCGTTCAGAGACCGGCCAGCCGACTGTGGTCCGTTCAGAGACTGGCCAGCCGACTGTGGTCCGCTCAGAGACCGGCCAGCCGACTGTGGTCCGTTCAGAGACCGGCCGGCCGATTGTGGTCCGTTCAGAGACCGGCCGGCCGACTGTGGTCAGCTCAGAGACAGGTCACTCGACTGTGGTCCGCTCAGAGACCGGCCAGCCGACTGTGGTCCGTTCAGAGACCGGCCACCCGACTGTGGTCCGCTCGGAGACCGGCCACCAGACTGTGGTCCGCTCAGAGGCCGGCCGGTCGACTGTGGTCCGTTCAGAGACCGGCCGATCGCCTATGGTCCACTCAGAGACCGGCCGGTCGTCTTTGGTCCGCTCAGAGACCAGATGGTCGACTGTGGTCCGCTCAAAGACCGGCCGGTCAACTGTGGTCCGCTCAGAGACCGGCCGGTCCACCGTGATCCGCCCAGAGACCGGCCGGTCTACTGTGGTCCGCCCAGAGATCAGCGGTCTACTGTGGTTCGCTCAGAGATCGGCCAGCCGGCTGTAGTCCGCTCAGAGACCGGCCGGTCTACTGTGGTCCGCTCAGAGACCGGCAAGCCGCCTGTGGTCCGCTCAGAGACCGGCGGTCTACTGTGCTCCGCTCGGGGACTGGCCGGCCGACTGTGGTCCGCCCAGAGATCCACACACCGGCCTGCACAGTCAGCCGCTTCTTGCGGCCGACTCAGGAAACGACAATCGTAGCAAACGTAGGCGCTAAACTTTCATCAACAAAAAGCGTTTCGAAAGATAAGGGTGAACATCAGCGGTATCAAGGAGTGCAATTCGAAGTTCTGGAGTAGTTTAACGTCTATCTTGTGATTCAAGTTCTAGCCGAAAACCTCGAGCAAAACGAGGCACTTGCGGGGAGAGGACGGCATCTGTCTAACTTGTGCGTGTTGTGGAGCTCTGTCCAAAAAACAGTGACCAGAGAAAGGCGTTGACTTTACGGCAGCCAATTCAAACACGCTTGGGCTCTGCGAGAACGATACCTGGGTACAAAGTAGAACAATACTGGCATAGCCTGGTGGTTGGGGTGCGCTCCGGGCTACCGGACTCGGGCCGGGTCAGGTGACCTCGGCCTGGCTGCGGTCAGGGGTCACGACCGTCGGTCTGAGGCATATCCTCCGACATCAATTTTGTTGTCATTCAACTCAGGTCGAAAAAGTCACTGCATTCCTCGGAACCACTGCACGGCAGATGTAAATGCTATGATCGCTAGCGTGGAGGAGGGGGTCAGTTGAGTCTAAAGCCCCTTAAACGTCGCGGTATGAAAGACACGACACCAGTACGGACACATGACCGGCTGCGCACCCATCTATCCGCTCAGAGCACTCCCTTGTCACCATGGCGTCGCGTGAGCTGTGACCTCAGTGACGACAGGCGAGGCGGGACGCCCGGGGTCGAGAGGTCGGCGAGCCTGACCCGCCGAGCGCCGCCGCGGTGCCGCGTACCTCCCACGCCTATTCGGGTCGTAAAGGACAGCACCGAATTGCCGTTACAAACTAAAGGACGCATACATTGTGTAACCCTGGAGCCAGCCTCACCCCGGGCAGGGCTTCCACGGACAACGCTCCAAGCGGGCATGGCCTGGCCGGTGTCAACTTACAATGCATTCATGTCAGGCCGACGTTTCCTGGAACTGACACAGTGCATTCAATACAGGTCGACACGTCCTGGAACTGACAAACGGCCGGCGTTTCCCGAAGCTAGGCGCCACTATAGTGCCCCTTGTCCGCCAGACAGGCGCGCTGGAACTTTCCCGGACACAGGGATTTAAGGATACATGGTGGTGTTCTACCGCACCTCCAACGAACTGCTATCCCGCTACCTGAATTGAAAAATCCAGAGCACCGCCCATAGTTCCCCGAAGTTCACCAATAAAGCCGCACAATACACCTGTGTGAGGCTGCATTTAGCTGGCCGGTGAAAGCCCTCATCAAATCGGCCTACAGAGAGCTCTCGCTCCTCCAAACAGGTCAGAGGACGCTCACGTACCGCCGAGCACCATAGACGTGCGACGGCCAGCGGAAGTAACGCCCATGCCTTTTGCACGTGTCGAACGCGAGTACAAAAATACGCGTAGAGTTTGCAGACTAAGCCAGCTAAGAGGAACATGTCTCTTTCAATGCTTCGCCCCCACAAAACAATGACATCTTCCTGCTCAATGCAGTCCGTTCTGCTGTCTTGGGATTAGTGCGACACATGACTTAATCAATCCAACCACTGTCCGATTTAAGTGCCGCCACAACCAGACGTCCCCGGCTGGGCCACTTCAGCCCTGCGCCGGGACACGCACCGTCACACCAGCGCGCGCCCCACCTGACCGCGCCCAGTCTTTCTCCAGGGGTCGGCAGCCCGGCGCCGGGACCCACACCGTCACACCAGCGCGCGCCCCATCTTTCTCCAGGGGTCGGCAGCCCGGTGCCAGGACCCACACCGTCACACCAGCGCGCGCCCCACCTTTCTCCAGGGGTCGGCAGCCCGGCGCCGGGACCCGCACCGTCACACCAGCGCGCGCCCCACCTGACCGCGCCCAGTCTTTCTCCAGGGGTCGGAAACGCCCTCGGGGCATGGCTTCAGCACCGTTATAAAGATGTGATTTTTGCTGTTTTAATTTTGTTTTGTCGATTTTGTCGACTTTTAAGTAAAGCTATCTCAGTAAATGCCATATTCAGCGGATCTATTTCGTTCCGACTAGGCAGAGCTTTTTTGTGTGCTTAGTAAGCGTACTTGGGAAGACCGCGGCTATTAGCAGCCATTATGTCGCGTTCACATAGGGGCAAATTATTAGCATCGCTCACGAAAATATTTGTTTGCCTGTTGCTTTTACTATGAACATTATTATAAGGAGTATTAATACACACAGCTTAAACGCACTGCGTTCTGTCGCATCATATTAGCACAATTTCATCATCATTAAACAAAATTAGGCCATCTTCCAACAGATTTCATAATTGTTTGTTTTTTGCGACAGAGTAGCCTAAAAAATTAAAAACATGACTTGAGTGCACTAAGCGCAACTACTTGTTTGCACTACGCGCGCAAACGTGTGCAAAAGTGACGCGACCGGAAATATCTCTCCCCCAGCGGCCGGTCTGGCCAGCGGCGCGGGCGGCAGTCAGCTGGTATCCTTATCTCGCCCTATCGTATCTCGCTTCATCCCGTCGTAGCCCTAGATGATTGGAAGGAGATGGAAGCCCCGTGCCCACTATGATACCGATTTGATTTTATCTGCCACGCGGAGACTTTCAGTGCGGTTTATAGGGTCTCGTGGTGTGGTGCCGTGAAAAGCTGTGAGCCCGTGATCGCGTGCTCATACTAGCTGGCTAAAATGGCAAACCAGAGATAAGTGTGCGCTGGTATACAGCAGATTTACGATGCAATCAAAGAGCTTGGGTGTCATCAAACCTATTCACCCAAGGCTGCCGGAAACACCACAAATTATGGCCTTGGTGCAATTTCAACTTAGACTGTCATAGTGGAGCTGCAGGCTGGTCCGCGGGAACGCCAATGAAGCATATCATGTGCCAACATGATATGCATCACGCAAGACATCCCATGACCGCGTGTTAGGGTCATGGAAACGTTACCATCCCCCTCCGGGCATGGCAATGGCATGTACCAGCAGCAAGGACGAGATGGATATGCAAAACCGAGCAGATCATCTCTGCAGGAGGCCGGTCGGTGAAACCGAACCTGCAGCCCGAGGGCCTGCACCGACGTTCAGTGGATCGCATGTGTAGTAGACTGGACGGTGCAAATGGAGGTCTGATCCTCCGACTGGCCACTGATCTCGCTAATATGAGCTCAACAGGCGAGCCACTGTGCACGGCTTCGACATCAATGTCCTTCCGCCGAGACCATCCGTCCCAGTGACCGCGACCACCGCGCGCCGCGCCAGCCGGCGCCGGTAGCTGACCTGCAGCGAGTTGGTCGGCAGGCCGAGCCACTTGATCTCCTTCTTCTCCTTGCTGATGATGTTCATTGCCATCAGCACGTTGAGAGCGTCGTAGACGCGGCGGCGGATATTTTTCTGGTCGCACTGCTGGTCGGAAGGCGACTCGCAGCGGCCCGGCTCCGTGAACTCGGCCACCAGTTCGTCTGCCACCTGTCGGCCATACGCAGAAGCCACAGTGCCGATGCACGCCGTCCGGCGTACGATGGCCGCAACTCTGAGCCAAAGACCAGTGATCTTTGGTACGATGTGTACCGGGACCTACTCCTCATAGTCTGCAGACAGTTGACCATTTAACGGCATTTAGACATCATCACTTTGTACGACACATGTTTAATATGACGGCTCACCCATTTTCGTATGTGCCTAACTTCGAGCGCGCATACTCGCGTGCGGACGGCTAGCATGGACCCCGATCATGTACTGAATGGTCGCAAATCTCCAAGCAATGCCAGTAGCGAGACCTCCCTGTCGTTTGACCTGCGCAGGTAGCGCACGGCCGCCGACTCTGGCGCCAGACCCATCAGCCCGTGGCATACGCGTCGCTCGGCGGATGCACCGCCTGCTCACCTCGTTGTAGGTGGTGGTGCCTTTGGTGCGCACCTTCTCGCACACTTTCATCGAGAAGTGGCGCAGACCCTTGCTGTTCTTCTCTGTTCGGCGACGCTTCCTAAGGACGCGCAGAGCCGCGGTGTTGACGATGAGAACGGGGGGGGGGGGGGGAGGGGCAGACGAGCGGCCCGGAGATTGGCGCCAACGCCGAGTGGTCCCCGCTATTTAACTTCAGCAGTCACTGAGTCAGCTTAAGCTGAACAACATATCATAAACAATAGTGCAACACATCACATCGATCGCCCAACCCCAACATGGTATTGATCGTCTTCCGACACCCCTGCGCGGTCCAATAATTTCGATGGTGTAATTAATGGACTTTGTGAAAGCCATCATCTGGCACCGCTTTCTGGCACCGGTTGGACAAATACTGGAGCTATGCTCCCGGACAGCACATCTTAGCGAAGGAAGCAGTCGTCGCGACTTTCCAGCGACTTTCAACAAGCCGACCAATGAACTGTTACATTAAAAAAACTCGCAAAGAAGACGCGATGCCGTCAAGTTGGTCCGTTACTGAAACGGACAAGAAAGGGCGCCCACCAGCTCTGTGACCGGAGGCGCGTGACGTCCACAGGCAAACGAGGGGCGGCGCCTCCAGTGCGGCGCCGGTGCGCCACTCACGCGTCTGACCAGGTGTCGTGCTCCCGGTCGCCCTGGCGCTTGCGCGCGCCGCTGTGGTCGAGGATGGGCGAGATGAAGGGGGCGCGCCCAGCCGGCTGGATCAGCAGCGGCGTCGGCCGGCCGGGCGGCGGTGTCGTCGGGTCAGACATCAGTGGGATGGCGTCCAGTGCCGGGCCGGCCGCCTGGGCCGTCTCCAGCGGCGCAGGGGCCGGCCGCACCGGTGCTGGCTCAGCCGTCAGCGCACCCGGCGGGCCGGACGGCAGCACGCGCCGCTTAGGCGTGGTGGGCAGCCGTCGGCCGGCGATCACCGTCCGCCGCTGACGAAGGACAGGGCACGGCACGCCAGGTCAGAGCGCGACAGGGCGGGGCACGCCAGGTCAGAGCGCGACAGGGCAGGGCAGGGCAGGGCAGGACAGGGCAGGGCAGGACAGGACAGGGCAGGGCAGGGCAGGGCAGGGCAGGGCAGGGCAGGGCAGGGCAGGCAGGGCAGGGCAGGGCAGGGCAGGGCAGGGGAGCGCAAGACAAACGAGCCAATCAGCATTCATAGAACGCAGTGACAGCGACCAATCAGCGGTCACAGCCGATCCACATGACGAATGTCGGATTCTGCATGCTGAGCAAGCGGCCTCAGATCAAGAGTTCTACAGTGCATTTCTGGCAAAGACAATTAGGCAACGACCGGCATTCTTAACAGTACCACAGACCGGCACAGGCCGCGAGCGGCGGCGGTTTCCCGGGCGCCGACCACTCACCAGGGGTGAGCCATGGAGCGCGCCGCCTCGCTGAGGTGAGATGGTCACGATCTGAGCCCCTGCGAACAGCCGCCCACTCCGTCAAACCGGCACCGGAGGCCCCGACCGACACCCGACACCTCGAGCAAACCGACCCCAGGCAGACATTTGAGGCGACGTAACAAAGGAACTTGTGACATGCAGTGGAAATCCAAACGGATGGGTGCAAGCATTGGTACAGATGCTATTGTACTTTTTAAGACCGCACTGAGCTGCATTACCGACGAGCCCAACGTCCGAGTTAAATAATTTCGCTATCCAAAACTCCCACTGTCCGCACGACATCTAACCATACATATACAGACACAGCACTAGTAAACACTGCATCAATCGCAGCAATCGCGACCAGAAGTGGCATCGGACAGCTAACGAGTATGGCAGCTGCCGCCGCCGCTCGCAGAAGCGGCGGCATCGGCGGCGCCGCTGCTGCGAACGGCGGCAGCACCGGCAACGCCGCCGCCCGGCGGCCGGTCCGTCGGGACGGAAGCGGCCCACTCACTGGTCTGCGGGGTACCGAGAGCACTCCGAGCGGCCGGCCGCGCCAGCACGGCCCCCTGCGGCACACACAGGAGTCGGTCACACGCAGACACTCAATCACCGGCGCAGCAGTGGGCTCGACGTCTGATGACATCAAAATGGAACCGCAGGCCTTAAGAAGCCGATGACGCGAGCTGCAGCAGTGGGGTATATTTGTTTGTGTGGGAGATAACGGCCAATAATAGTAGAAAACACACCGTGTGAAGAGGGAGGCCACCCCTGTGCTGGCCACAACGCCTGGCAACGTTCTTCGGCGAATATCACGACGAACAACGCAAGGAGCGTTCGATTCGCTGGCGCTCTACGGCGCAAACGCGCTTGACGCACCTGACAATTTCGCCCGACAGCGACGGACCGAGGCTTCACGGGGGGTCGGCTGGCTGGCGTCGGGCCGCCAGCCGACCGGCTAGGGCACACGACTGACCTGTGAGGAGGGCTGCAGCTGGACGGTGCGGCGCACCACCTGCGGCTGAGCGCCGGCCGGCGCCGCCGTCTTGATGATGGCCCGCACCACGTTGCCGCCGGCCGCCGCCGCCGACGAGGAGGGGACGGCGGTCGGGGCGACCGGCGCCGCCGACACCTTAGTGGGCGTCGCCTGCAGCACGCGGATCATCTGCGACACACCTGCGGCAGAGCGGGGAGTGGGGTCGGTCACGCCAGGTCAAATGAGCTCAGGTCAGGCCAGGCCAGGCCGGATCAGGTCAGGTCAGGTCAGGTCAGGTCAGGTCAGGTCAGGTCAGGTCAAGCCAGACGTAGATGGCCAAGCAATGTCGACAAACACACAACCACGCCGCAGGCAGGAGCGAAGAACGTCAGGCTAAGCCATGAAGCCGGAACAGATAGGAAGTCACCTCGGCGCAAAGTGGCACAAAGTAGATCACAAATGTACTGAGGATATACTGACACATTTCACATCCATGTGAAGCCAGCTCACCATTCTGGTCCTGGATCCAGAGTGTGCCGAACTCCTGCTGGCCGTGACTGGCGGGCGCCGGCGCACCGGCCGCCGGGGCGCCGCTTCCTCCCGACATCTCGGCAGTGCTGGTGCTGCGTCAATGCTCCACCGGCATAACCTGAGGTGGCACCATCAACATGCTGCATGTGGCACCACAGGCAGCAGTACTTTCCACATGTGGCGAACTGCTGGCATTGGCATAATATGGTTGGTGCAAGATGAATGGCTTCAATGATGTTTGCACCCTGCGTGGATAATACCAAAATAGCAATAAACCTGCCTCCAATGTGGCACAAGAAACAGCATCAACACATTTCATGTCTTTTCTGATGCATCTAACCATCAAAAACTTCCACAGCTGCACTTTCATTTGAATAGAAATGTCATGGATGATCTGTGATGGGTGACAATTGGGAATCAGAGTCCCAAAATCTACTTTGGGACTAATTAATGCCTCCAGCCATGCTCCCTGCAGCATAACTATATATCTAATCACACATCACATCAAATCTGTGCTGGTTGAGAGCTACCAATGAAAATTTAGCAACAATGATACAAAGAGCAACATGGATGCATAATGGCACAAAACTTGTAAAATAGAGGAAAATACTAAGCTGGCTTATGGAAGATCAGTGAATATAATCATGGAAAATCCAACCATTTTGCACAATTTTAGAAAATAGTCATATTTCAAAGGCAAAAATATATAATAATATCCACTCATTGAATAGCAATCATGGCAACCTCATTGAAGCACATAGGACATACATGCAGTCAGCAACTGGTGATTTACCACAGCTACTATGCATCTCTTTAGAAACAAGAACACCCAGCTACATGATGCATAAAATGTAAAAAATTAATTGAGACAGTGTTGTGACATTCTTTGCCTTCAGTGCTTTGGACAACATTATCCAAAGTTTGCATACACCTCTTCACCTGTTTGTCAAGTCTGGTGTTTACCTCAGCCTCAACTTCAGGAGCACTGATCTACTTGGGATAATGATGATGAAGATGATGATACACCCATCAATGAGCAGCTGGCTGATGGTTATGGCTGCCTCTTCCACAAAGATTGATAGGCACCCCTCTACTGCAGTCTGGAACAAGCTGCAGTTGTGGTTGGGTGCTTTAACCTAAGTACAGGCATAGGATGATCCTCTGCTTTGGTTTGGGACATTTATCTGCTATGACATTGGAAGGTCATCAGCATCACTTTACTTATGTCCAGGGTGCAACTTGTTATAAGCTTGCAGTATCTCTCAATTTAGACTTGAAGATAGGCTTTCACTAAGGTTTGGGCCCTTAACTGTTAAATTCTGTGCTCACCTTGGTTATGTACAGGCTGAAATGCTGAAGAGGATCTGGGCCCACATATCTGACACCTGGGAGTGTGCCATTGTAAACAGGCAAAGGTCAGTTACCAACAAGAAAGTGGTCTAATGTCCCTGACTAATGAGCATCCACAAATGAATTTGTCTGGTATTCCTGACCAATAACACTATTTTTTAGCATATTCATCCACGCACCAATGTATAAACCATTCTGACACTCAACTTAAATCCTGTATCAAACTACCATGCTTCATAACTTAACCTCTCCAGCTCTTACTTTCTCATAACTGCATATGGCTGAAAATGACACTAGCTATTTTTGTTGCTGATGCAGCCAGTCCTACCATTACACAAAATAACAAATGAGCAAAAATATCAACATTTGATTGAATAACTATGTGATGTATTTGCATAACATACTTCAGTGATGGTGCAGTATTTCCTAACACATCAGTGCACAAACACTTCCACAAGGCATGTCAGTTTGCCTCAGTAAAGCCAGCAGCACGCCTGCCTGCATATCCAATACCTGCCTTACCCTGCAGCTGAACAGGCATAACAATGCATATCTTTTACACTGCTCTGCTTTTCCATAGGTACTGACCCAACAATTCCAGGAGCCAATGACTGCCCAGTAAGACTAAGCATCCTAGTCTAGTGTCTCTTTAACATAGAAGATAACAAAAACTAAATGCCATAAACCTTGTTAGCTATACTGTACCAGGCACACCAATGTAGTTTTGAAGGCTAGTTGGCTCAAATGGGCAGAGGGGTGCAGTTCCTCATGGTTTAATCGCTCTTCTATGCCAGTTATAGCCAGATAAGCCCACCCAATCCAGCAGAGAACGCCCATAAGCACATCCTTACCACATTCACAATTGAATCCCGCAGCAAAACCGCTGCCGTTTCGTTTGCGGCGCACACAGCAAGACCATTTTCGGATTTGACCTGGGACGTGCTGGATAATGCAATGGGGGGTGACAAGAAAACGCAAGAATCAGGGGGCGCGCAAGATTATTTAAATCATTTTCATGACATCCAGGAACACATACCATCCGACGAAGTAGTACCACTTCTCCTGATACTGCAGCGCCAAGCTGTTTATTTCGCAGGCTGCCCCCGCTCACCACCACCAAAAATTTTCGTGCACAAATGGCGCGTCCTAATTCCGACTGAGGATCGCAGCAGCTAAATTAATAGCCACAGCACGAATCGCAAGGAACGCACCAAATAAAGCAGCGCGAAGTGGACTGCAAGATCCACTTACCACACATGTGCGGATTAATTACAGGCATGAGCCTCAGTATGTGGAACAGTCAAGTGAAAAGCTGTAAAATGGCATCAGGACGTCTTGAACGGCATGGCACTGAGCGGCACTCGACCAAAGGCAGTTGGGTGCGCCAACGGGTGTTGCCAGGCAAGCATTGCAATGCACCGCCTCATGAGGCTAGGCAAGGAATGTCTTGAAAGGTGTTTGTGGGCGGGGTCACACAAATTTCTAGGAAGATTCTTCCATTGCATCGCCGCATGATCAATATCAGGCATTCTCAAAAATTAAAGGGAATTACCGCTCCCTATAATTTATTCCCCACCCCCACGCGGCGGCATGGACCTTAAGTTCATTTTCAGATGTTTTAGCGACGCAGCTGCATTCCTCTGGATGGACAGCACGGATCCGACCAATGTGAATGAGCTAAAATGTGTATTGCACGCATGAGTGAAGGAACCTCACCTGGGATGGAGGAGGTCCAATTATCACCGTTTTGTTTTTGAGCACAGCATCCAACATTGATGTTAGATATGCCGGAGTCGGCAACATACCCATCCATTTCTATTACCCACATTATTACTTCGAGTGGGTTGATAGCCGACCACCTACGAGCACCTGCTGGAGCTTGTTGGGCAGACAATACACATCAGAGGGGCCACAAGCAGTGATCTGGAAGGTTGGGAGAGACTGATACTTTCCATGACTCAGCACCAGCCATAGAATGCTTGAAAGTATTTCGTCGGCGACAAGCAGCATGTTCAGTCTAAAATTTGTATGTCATGCACATTAATAACATGCATGACAGCAAACACGACATCTTCATGATTATTGCTGCCTCAGTCTAGGCATCACCACACACCTCATACAGGCATTCCGTGTCGCAGCTACTTGTTTATAATGTTTCATCATTTGTGTCCTGGACAGCAGATACATAGGTAAATTTAAGCAGGGATCAAAAACAGTCTGACCCATATTTACCGCACAACACATTGGCACCCATGGCAATCAGCTCAGTTTGTCCAAATTGGGACAGAATCACATCCCCCCCCCCCCCCGTCTGATGCTACATCAGTGCTTGAGCAACCCTCCACTTTACAGCAGCCTGCCACGAGCCTTCCAAACAGCCTCAGGAGGCATGTATCATGTTGATCCACCCAACTCGACATCACACTTCAGGCACCCAGAAGTCACCGCGCGCCAGCGGCCGAGCATGACAAATCCGGTCGTGTCAGGTCAGGTCATGTCAGGCCAGGCCGTATCAGGACAGGCCAGGTCATATCGGGTCAGTCCAGCTCATCCCAGTTCAGGTCAGGTCAGATCAGCTACGGCAGGACACAGGACGCCCACGGCCGGCATGAAGATCGAAATCGCTCCAGCCACAGCCGGATGTCAGACGGACGCCTCAGCATGGTGTCGGCGCGCACACCTCGCGCCGAGGTCAGGTCACACAAACCGAGAGGTACACATCGCAGTTGGCCTCACCCTCGGAGTGGGACCATACCTGGTGAGTGCACACAAATCATAGATGATGTCAACGCATGGGTGAATAAGAGCATCAGTGCTAGCAACGCATTATGAAAAAACGGTACTCGCTGGTAACATGCTCCGGATCAGAACACAGGCGACGCCTGTCACAAAAATAAGAACAAGACAACATGCCAATATGAAAGTGCTTCAGCTGGCATTGAAGCACATTCTAATTCAAAATCCGGGCAAAGATCTCAATCGAAATCACATACTCACAGACCCTCTTAGTGACCGACGAGTCGGACCGGAACAGCGCAACAACTCCCTGAGAGCACACATCCACAATTCCAGAGGACCAACACAAACCACCTGAGCGTGTTGGCACTGAAAGGTTGCCCGGGCAGGCCCTAGCGGGGGACAGGCGTCCGCCGTTTCTGCTGTCTAGTTCCCCTTTCACTGCGTGCTGCGGCTGTCCGCCCGATCGGACCGTCTCCGCCCACATCCGGGGCCTTCCCGACGACAGCGGCAGTGACTCGCACTCTCTTGGACGGGGTCGTCTTGGCTGGCGCCACCGGACACTTCACGGTCTGTCGGACGCTGGCCGATTCTTGGGCTGGGCCTGATGCCTCATCCGCAGCGGCCTTTTTAAATTCAGCCAGATCACCGCAGAACAAGACCTGTAGATGGCGACATCATACATTCCAGTGATGTCACAGGGGTAACGTCAGCGTACAGACACGGCGGTCTCAAAAAGAAAACGCATCAACTTCGGGATACGAGCATGCTTCCGGCGGTCTACCACTTGCATTCAGATTAATCCAGTTTAATCAGCATTATACGTCAAAATAGCGAGAAAAGAATGATAAAAATTACCAGCGGAGAGCGTCGAAAAACGACGGTATGCCTTTACATGCAATGATCAAATCGTTACCAACGAAACATGCATCAAACGGTCGACGTGACCAACAGGAACGTAACAACAAGACCAAGCAAGGAAGCTCTATGCAACATCATGTTTGCACCTCCCTGGCTCAGTTTAAAGCTACACTCTCCGGAGGGGAGACGCCCACCGCCAGCACGCACCGCCTGCGCCCATCCCGCGCGCTCGCCGAACACCAGCCGGAAGTGGTCGGCCACCTGGCGGTAGGTGCGATCGGTCAGCGTCTTGGTGTGGCGCAGCTGCGGCAGGTAGTGGCGCAGCGCCAGCTGGTGCACGTGAGTGTCGACCGGCACGGCCGCCGGCTGGTCCAGCGACATCAGACACACGCAGTCGGCCACCTGCGGCGGAACGCAACGGCGTCGGGTCAGAGCGGCGGCGGCGGCGGTCACAACGGACAAGTAACACGCCAAACCAGCTGACAGTCCACCATAGGTCACCCCCTTAGTCGCAAGCGAATTAGGTCTAAGCGTGTCATTCTGCATCACGATGGGCGCAGAACTCATCGTGATCCTCAAGCACCGAAATCGATCTCTGTCATCAGAAGCTACGGAGTTCGAAAGATGGAAATATTTATCAGTGCCCGTTAGTGCCTCCGCTCATTAACATTTTTTACCACATTTTTATGTTCAGATGAAATCTCACATCAAACCCGCACCGGCAGCACACAGAAAGACGCCTCAAAGCTGCAGCCAATCAAGACACACCAACAAACATCTTTCGCCAAGTCCTTTTGAACGCCCGCGGAGCACCTTTCATTTCGTTTCTAAGACCGTCTGATTGCCCTTCTTCCACAAAGCACATCACAGATCGCTCGTCGCAGCTTACATCCCGCAATGGACATTTAGCACATCTCAGCCCCCCACCCAAAGCTGGCGCATCTCATCTTGCATTACATATCACGAGACAAGTTCTACCATTGGGCCAGTTCAGCCGCCACACTCATCCACCCCACCCGACCGGCGCCATCTACGGGCTGACCTTGGCGCCGACGCCACAGAGCTGGCGCAGCTGTCCGTGGCAGGTGGCGTAGGGGACGCTGCGCAGGGCGCGCAGCCAGCCGGCGCCGCCGCGCTCCGCCACCTGGTGGGCCGTCTCGCGCACGTAGCGGGCTCGATAGCCGAAGCCGAGCGCGCGCAGCTCGGCCTCGACGGCCGGCTCTGCCAGTCGGGAGACGGCGGGGAAGGCGTGGAACGTCCGGCCGGCGTGCTCCCCCAGCGGCTCGCCGTACCGCTCACACAGCTTCTCCACCATCGAGGTGATGCTGTGGCGGCGGCCGGGGGTGAGGCGCCGGCAGCGGCCCGCGAGCAGAGACGGGCACCCTCTGTTTGCGCCGTGCTACTGTACCCGAAGGGGTTGGTAAAGCTTAGGCCAGGATACCTTACCGGCCAGAAGTGTCTTCGTGCAATTGTGGCATATGCGAGCAGAGATAACATTTGCCGCGAACAGTATAAATGTGCGGTTCTAACATGGACGTGTACAGCCAGTTAGCGAAACTGCTCAATTTTTCAGCTCAACTAAATGCGACAAATGTGCTACAAGGCCGTTGTTCAACAGCGATGCAAAAACGCATTCCGAGAGCCGAACAGGCCTCACAACTCCATAGATCCACGCTTATTGTACGCATACATGCAGCCGTGATTCACACCACACAGTCACAGAGCTTACCATTGCAAAGTACCTACCGCTGTATATTGTTGTTGGAGGAGCAGATGAAGCAGAACAGATTCTCGACGGGGTCCTGGCGGAGCATCCGGACGCCGGGCAGCCGGCGGCCGGCCATGCTGAAGGCCTCGTCGGCCGCGCTCCAGCACGAGTACAGCTCGCGCAGGTTTACCCCCAGCTGGAAGTAGTCCTCGAGGAAGCATCTGGCCTTGCCTTCATCCAGGCTCGCCTCACTCTTGGGAGGCGGCAGTGTTCTAAAGGTGATGCCGGACTCGTCCTGCCGCAGGATCCAGACGTGCCGGCCCAGAGGACCCACCCACTCCTCAGAGGGCAGCCTCACCCATCTGGAACACACAGCAGCATCAGCGGATGCAAGGGATGCACAAGGGATGCGGGGCTCTGAGTGCGCCATCAGCGTGCGGTGCTGGTCACCCTGCAGCTGGCCACAGAGCCCGTCCTGTCGGGGGCGGCGATGGCAACTCCACCACCACCACCAGGGAAACCACGTGCTGAATTGGCAGCAGTGTAACAGGTTCTCATCAATGTGACAACCACAAACGGGCATAGTGCACCAACTATTGCCTGCAGAAAAAGGTAGTGATGTGTAATAACCACAAATGGGCATAGCAAACAAATTGTTGCCTACAGGAACTGGTTACACTGTTAACAATAAGCCACAATATATCATCAGGGTAGTGCATATGATTTATTGATTGAAGGATGAGGTTAATGTGACAATGGTGCATCTTCTTAGAATGTGTGCTGTTTGAGCTAAGGGTACAGTGGGATGAATTTCTTTTGAGCTGTCTCCAAAAAGTAATTTAGAGAAGTTTAGACCATCCTTAAATTAAACTTCTTACTAGCTCATTTCTCTGCATCAGCCACCAAAACATATGCCCGCAGCTCCAAGAAGGCTATCAGGATCCCATCAACACAGAGCACTATGGTAACCTGGATTTGGCCTGGGACCCATTCACATGTCTACATGACGAATGATAAAATGAAGTATTGTTATGAGAATGATATGCTGAGAGACTTACAGCTATGTTAGATTTTTGTATATTTTGGTTATGTACTCATTTGTTATGGTTACTTACTATTTTGGTATATTTTGGCTATGTACATATTTGCTACAATACCTTGCATGCAAACATACTAAAGCTGCAATGTCTTGCCTGCCTACCACCATCAGTTATAGCATGAAAACCCATGACAACACATTTAAAAACTAAACAATAGCTCATCAACTTACCTGAATGACTGTCCACTTTTAAGGACTGCAGCAAGATTCACATCATGTATGGTGCACAAGATTCTACCACAGCTTCCCATAGTTAAGTCTCCTACTCAATAAATAATAATGGGTTGCTTGTTGCTGAGATTGCTTCTTGACATTGTTCCAGATGAATTACAGGCTCTAACCTGACAACCAACTGCCAAAATCAGTGTGGGTAAAGGCACTCAAGCAGGAATGATTCAGATGATACTAGTTTTGACTCAGATAAGTTTTGGGCTTCCCTTACACCTCTGGTGATTTTTTCATAACCCTGGACTTAAGAAAAGGCAAGTGAATGGTGATGACACTTTTGATTATCAGTGTTTCAGTCAAAAGCATTGTAGCCGAAAGCAAAGCCCAGAAGTGGCAAAAGCAAAATTCCTTCGTTGATTCATGGGGTTTGGTGAAATGGGCTACGTGGTCCGTATGGTCTTCCAATGAATATGGTGCTATCTGTTACAGTAATCAACTTGAAATGTGATTTGAAACCCACCGACTCCCATCAACGCGTGAGGTAGTGACAGCACACGTTCTAAGCGAGGTATGTGGCTGTCGGTACCTGATTTCAAACGTCTAATAAGCGTCAGAACTGTAAATATCTTGTAATCTTGGGGTATATGTCTTTATCGACATCTTTTTAACAAAGCAGCACCTGAGGAAAAACTAGATAGACCGTACACAAAAAATAGCCTTATATCAATTAAGTTGTATTATGTTGCACAGTCATGGACCAGTCAACACGGGTATGGAAAGTCATAAAAAGACCGCGTTTTAGGCGACTCCACACCTTCAACACCTGCTCACAGTGTTCAGACTCAACGGTTGCACGCAAGGTTATCGTTGAACTGGCCTGATGATTGGTAAAAGACTATGTACGATAGAATTGATTGCCCAAAGGTAGCGAGCTTTCAGCTCTTCGGCTGATATGAGCACCACCAGCATTTGTTTCGCTGTCTGCGCTTGTTCATTGCGGCGTTTGGGGTAGGTGCAGAGGCTCGGCTGCGTGTTGGTCGCTGGGTTCGCGCGAGGCTGTAGGGGGGGATACCAATAATTTCGGTCGTCCCGTGCCAGCGTTAGCATATATGGCATGGTAGCCAGCGCCTGAACGGCAGTTTACGCTTCTCCTCTTCAGGTATGTTTGCACTTGAGCGCGATTTCCGTGACGAATGTGAGGCACCTTACTTCGTAACGGTGCTCATCAAACCGGATCGGGTTTTGCCGGATTCAGGTCCTCTGCGCCGAAAGACTAGCCCGTAAGCCACGGCAAAAAGGTATTGATTGTGTCAGGGGGCTTGGGTGCCGTGGCTCAAGGATCAGTGATGAGGAAGCGATTATTTGGTGAGGTGGGTAAATGAGGGATTACTGGGTATCAAACTTTTGGAACAGCGAGATCGTTGTTGCGGCTGGTGAGGCCATAGTGCAATGCCCACCCCTCCTCCTGGCACCCTTAGCCAGTGCTAATATTGTTTTTGCATATATTCACCTGTACAGTTAACCAGATTGACCAGTGTATATGGTGTTAAATATGGTTAGCTGCTTGAATAAAGATTGGGGTGGGAGATGTAGTTTTGTTTCTGCATTGAAGGCATGCTTTTAGACTGTATCTATTCATATTAGGCTTAACTTTACTTCAGAGCATGCCTATCCAGTTGCCCACAATATTTGATGAAAATCTAGAGAATGATTGAGTAAAATGCAAACACTGTAGGTTGTGAAAATTGTAACTCACTGTGGAGCTTGTCCTGCTTACCTCATTTATCAGGTTACCTGCTTACTGATATTCCAAATGTTGCATGATAATTGTAAGTCAAGAACATTAGCTACCAATGCTACAGGGTTTGAGGCATGCTATTGGATTAATTTGTTTGTGATTGTAATATTTTTTGATTGATTTGATTTTGTGATTGTAAACCATAGTTTGGATAGAAAAACAAGCTGGATGAAATATATGAATATAAGTTGGATGTACTCTGAATTTGCTAGTACCATCTCCAAAAAGCTGAGAAAGTTTGGCACTGTACAAATATTTGGGGCAGTCAACTTTTTAAGATGGCCCAAGTCAAACAAGAGATTTAATTGATGCCAGATATTTATATTTGTTATATTGTTAATGATGCTGGGTGCTAGGTAATGACTGCCTTTATTATTAAAGGTCATTACAGATGCTCTTGCTTTGCACATTCTAAAAAATACTCAAAGGTATACCTATTTCTCTATTGTTCCATTCTTTATAAGAAATTACACAGATACAATCAAGACACAAGACAACCAATACAATTCTTCTAACATGGGCTAGCATGTCTCTGTCCATTTGTTATAAAATAGGCCAGATACCAAGTGCACGTATGCAAATTTCACTATCACATTACGCTGGATTTGACTTGTGTCACACAAGTCAAGACATGATGGATATGTTATGTCAAAGTAATGCAGAAAAAAACCTATGTCCTACCAAAATATTACTATGTGAAAACATAATTTGGTTGAAACAGGCTTGATTGTTCCACATGTACATATCTTATCCATCATGCAACCTGTCCTCAAGAAGTGCTGCATAAGTTAGTAGCTGCTGCGCATATCAATACCCTGTGCCAGCAGCTACTTGATGCTGGTTCACAAGATGCTTCTGCAAGATGAGGAAGGCCTGACAAGATGCTGTCTGCCATGCTTGAATATGGAAATGGACAGGAGATGTCAAGCTGCAGCTCAGCTAGTTATACAACACAACTTATTGATCCACTACTGTGTTCTCAGGCACCAGAGAACCAAATGCTTGGTTCTGATTATAGTTATATTGACATAGTTTTGTAATAATAAGATATGGGCACAAATAACCAATGCTTTTGGTCAGCCCTTAAAGCTCAATAACTAACTATCAAAATGCATGGCATGACATGCATTGTTGGGGAGATTTGTTCTTGATCTGCTAACTCTGGGTTTCAAATAAAAACAAAGATTTTTGCACATGCTGCAAACTCTGTTGTTTCTGAGCTGGAACCTGCAAGGAGTTGTCCAAATGTGTTAAAACTGGGTATCACAGAATTGGCAATAACCAGGCATACATTTTGGGCTCTAAACATCTTTCACCACAGTGTTGGAACTTTTACCCTGAACCCTGGAATGTGATATGCAACCTTTGGACTCCCTTATGCTGTTTTAAAAGTTGGCTCTTAATTTTTACTGATACACATTAACTTTTCTCCTTTTTAACTTTAACTTTTCTTTTCTTTCCTCTTTAACTTCTAGCTTTTTTCTCCTTCAACAGACTATGGCTAGTATATCCTTCAGTTCACTGGAAAGTTTATGATCTGCATGCACTTGGTCCATGCTAGAAATGCCTTGACCCTCTTTTAAAGGCATTATGAGCTCAGAGTTCCCATTCTGACAGTTCTTCACATGCCATATACCAGGAGGTATTGGTTAAATGGCCCCATCAAGCAAATATTTGGTTTGGAAATATTACATTAACACAAACATTATAGTAAGCCTAATCAAACATTGGCCGCTCAAACCATGAGTACAGCATGGCATGTCAAGTTGTGGCAATGTAGCCAGTTTTGACCTGGGAAAGTCTAACAGATTGGATTTTATGTCACCACATGTGCACCTTGATTAAGTCTGCTAGGAATTGTGAATTAAAGGTGAGCAATTTAATGTCAATCTCATTTTATTTTAAGTGTAGTTGTGTTGAATTGGGGATGGGTACAGCTGAAAGTGGATTTAAAATTAGGGCATGCACCTATGCTTGCAGTCCTAGTTTTTCCATACTTTTTCCTTGGTCCCAGGTTTTTTGGCTATTTTAATGACCATGATGTATCCTGGTGGGAAGGCTTACTACAAACCTTACCCACATGTTGGATACCTCAGCTGCATGCTGGAGGCACAGACCCCTCAACTGAAGCTGATCCTTTGTTCATGTATTTCAACAGGAGCACTGAGGGTGCTTGTAAATCATTAAACCAGTGTAATACCAGTCCCCTTGTCCTCCAAATAATATATCCCCATATTCTGGGTATTAGGAGATGACTGTCATTGGCCCTGAGAATGTCCCCAGTTGAGGCTGACTGAAGACCAGTGTAGTGCAAATGCATCCATTGATACATGTTACAGCATAAAACAGTTGAATTGTGTTATATTCACTGGGCATGACATAACCTGTTGAACAGCTCAACTTTTCTAGAAGACTTGCCATCCTGTCCAAAATGCTACTGAATGTTGCATGAGTGAATCAGGATTTTTTGCTTACCTGCTTGATGTTTTTAGGTTTTTTTGCCAATGAGATGAGTCTTTACACAGATGTGCAACAACAGCATAATCTTCAGATGACATGCAGCTGTTATTATGTGGGCATCAGGATCAGTTGCCTTGGGTGAAAGCTGATTTAGAAACTTAGCTGTCCCAACTGGTGAGCCGTTTTTGACAAACAAGCTCCAGAACAAGTAAGAAGGTTCAAGTTTGTGTGGTGCAAACATGCCAAATGCTTGGTGGAGTACTCTTAGTTCACATCAAATGGGAAGCACCATACTTGCTGAGTGCAGAACTGTTTAAATTCATAGTTATGGACACACAGCTTACCTACTTGGGCACATTTGTCAACTTGTAGCTAAATGCATTGGCAGTCTAATGACACTTATCCACGCAGCTGTGTCATACCAAAGAGCGTGGCAAAGCAGATAATGCATAGATATCCTAGGGGTTTCATCATTGTGGTACTGTGGTGCCATGTATGGAAGATGTAACAAGATACCGCCTGGCTACACTAAAAAAAAGAACTTATGTGCGTTGGCAGGTGTGGATAAAGGGAGAAATGCACTCGTCTTGAAAATACCCAAGAAAACCAGCAATTTTGAACTCCATGTCATTATGTTAAGTTAGTGATCGTCATATACGGGGAGGTGCTGGTTAAATGACGTCGATCTAAATGACGATTTTACTGGCGGTATTGAATATTTTGTGCTCATCTCATCTTCGAGAGGGAGGTGTAGCAAACTGTTCTCATCCTTGCAAGGATGATAATGCTGCTCAAAACAGCTCAAAATGCTGGGCACCATCAATTTAAGGCTACTTAACTCAGCAATGTTTAGCCAGCACCTCCTGGTACACTGACGGTCGCTGATTCGGCGTAAACAATTTGAACTCACGATGCCTATATGTATGTTTGTATATATATATATATATATATATATATATATATATATATATATATATATATATATTAAGGTACAGCTAGCTGTGTCTCACAAAATAAATCGTGTGCATTAAGCAGTCATTAGTATTTATCTCAATGTATTGCATGTCAATACGAACACGGTACCCGCCAAAGAGGTGAGATATGGTTACCAGACCACGGAAGGAATTCGGGGAAAATGAGACTATCCTACGTAATGCAGGTGATGCAATAACAAAATACCACCTGGCACGCAGCTTACCAGCATTAACCGCTGTAAGCCTGATGTCATTGGCATGGTCAGTGGGGACAAAATATTGGTGTACCAGTCGCTAAATCTGAATAAATTAG